CCACGTACAAGACGCCGAACCCCGATGCCAGAAACCCCAACGAATCGCAACGAACCTACGTCCACGACCTACCACAACGCACACGGCACCCAATAACGCAACGCAGCACTTGACACCCAAACCAATCGCAACGAATACGAAGCCACGGCACACTACGGAGAAACCGAATCCAAGGTCAACACCAGCAAACAGCAACCAAGCAATCGGGAAAACGAGTCCCACGGTCACTACGGAGCAACCGCGTCCTAGGCCAACAACAGGGAACACGCATCCCAAACAAACCACGAGGATCTCACACACGAGACGAACACACTTGAACCCGGCGCTCGACACAGGAAGCCCAGGTCCAAGACAAGCAACAGAGCAAGCACGCATAGAATCCGCAACGGAAGAATTGAACAACGGACACCCTCAAAGCCGACCACCAGCATCGAACAAGGACAACGGCAGCCACCATCCGACATCCCAGCAACACGAGAAACAGCCACGCTAACCCCACGCTGGTCGGTGCCCATAATTGAACTGATATCCACAGAGCCCCTCAACGCGAGCCCGGAAACCAGGACGATACCCCAACGATGCACCAACCGCCGCCCTGTCGTACCCACGGCCGACGCCACCCCGATCCTCGCCAACACAATGGAGTACCTTCCGCGTACCGACATGATTCTTAGCGCCATGCAACGAGCCATGCCTAGAGCCATGTCCGAGTTCTTCGTCGCCCAAACAAGACGATGCTGCGATACCAGAGGCGTCGTCGCGACTCACCTGTTCACGTACCAGTCTGGCTGTAGTATAACACGAGTACTACACCCGGCATACCAAAATATCGTACCCATGGTCCACACCACACCCATCGTGGCCCACATAAGCGACTACCAACGGAGGATCGAAACGCACAGCGCCTTCGACACAACCCTCTTACCCGAAGACCTCAGCCAGCCATTTGACTCCGAAGCCACCGATCCAACCGAACATGAGCCCGAACCAGCCGTGACCGCCGGACTTGGCCCAGCAGACCCAAGCATCCGTCGCCCAAACAAGCCATTGGTCCAACAAAAGAGACATCGTCGAGACCAGCCAGTTCATGCACCAGTCTGGAGACAATACCACCCAAGTTCCACCAGAGCTACAAAACTACTCTACCCACGTCCAACGCCTCCCCGATCATCGCCCACATAAGCGATTACCATCGAGCATCGATCCGTCAAGCACATTTGACAAACCCATCCTTCCGAAAAACCCGAATCAAACCTTTGACCCCGGAGCCACCAAACCCACCGAAGACGACCCAGAACTACCGACGGATCCTTGGCCACCCGACATAGCACCGCAGATTCGAGAATGCCTGGACAAATAACTACCAAAGAAAACTGCCGAGAAAACCATCGTCATATGGGATAATCGACCCACCAAGCAGACACCAACTACAAAGCACCCAGAACAGCAGAAAGGCCACGATCACAGCAGCAGTAGAAAATATAACGTTACCGACGCCATGCCAAAGTGACGAGATTAACAGCGACGAATCCGGAGACTCGGCACAAGCCAAAGGACAGGATAACCTGGAAAAAAAGGCGAACCTCAGCACCCGCCAAGCGACGCCACAAATCTCTCCATCACCCATCACCCACCCGGTAGAAAGGGGGGGTGTAACGAACCATTCTAGCCATGTCTCGTCACAAACGGCGGAGGGTCAGCGTATCCACGCTGGCCGGAGACAATAACCAAACTGAGATACACAGAGCTAACGAACCATGGCTCTAACCACGGTTCTCCACAAATAGCGGCGTGTCAGTAACTCCGGGAAATAAAATAGTCTTGAGCAACGCACACAATTAATTAAGAACTCTCTACACATTCTTGTCCACACAACAATTTAAAACACCCCACCTCTTGGCACATTTCGCAATCGACGACCTACATAAGAAATATCATTTGCGTTATTTCACAATAAGTCAATCCAGCATAAAATAATCAACCTACCGGCCCAAATTCAGCTATCACCTTCGCGATGTGGAGGTAGCAAAATCCCAATTCCCAACTGCAGCCCACCTCTACCGCAATGCAGTCTGAGCAAGCATCAAAACACACTGACCCAATAAGCAGTTGTCAACGAAGCACAAAGCTTCGACCCACTTACCACGCCCCACAATTATTGTCACCCAATAATCATAAGTTAGCAATAAGCAATTATTTCCGGGTCTCAGGTGCGATCGCCAGCTTCATAAGAGGGCCAAGATCGGCCGAAAGAGTAGGCAGTCCATCAGCCCGAATACAAGACACTGCACGAGGCAGTCCATCAGCCCGAACACGAGACACTGACTAAGCAATCCACACAATCCGCACAACTACAAGACAGAGTAACAACGTAAAAGAACTAAGTGAATGAAAAAATACTGAATAAACCAAGAACAACCAAAACCCAAACTCTCGCGTCATCATTTCTCCCTTGCCTACTGCATTTCAAGCCAGCCCGACACCTGAAGTCACCTGCAATCTACAAATTTTCTTGTAGCGGACCCTGAACAGACTGATGCATACCTCAGCCTGAGATAGGACCTCACAGTGTCTGACTATCAGCAGCAGCAGATGGCGACGCCTCCCGTGCCGGACACCGTGAATAAAAAATGTTTTGAAAACAATGGTTGTTTTATATTTATGAAAATTAATAAAAATAATAAATTATAATATCCATATAATAATAACACTGCATTAATTAGATTCTATTTGTCTTCATTATTTAAATATTTCATTTGGCCCGAAAAGCCTAGTACTCAGATCCGAAAAAAAATCTCGCGAACAGAATCAAGATTGATATTCGTATGAAACCGATAAGGAATATTTTCCGGAAAAAACTGTTTTCTAGGTTTTCTTGTTTTCAAAACATTATGCATTCACGGTGGTCGGCATAGGATGCATCGCCATCTGCTTTTGCTGATAGTCAGACACATAACCTTGCGAATAATATATTGGGGAGCCCAGGATATGCCTGGGGAAGAGCGCCCCAGCCAAAGAAGTGCATTTTATTTACTTTAAACAAAACCAAGCAGCTGTCTGAGCAGTGTAACCGTACGGAATGCAGTGCACACCTCTGGTCACACCACTGGCCGCTAGAAGAATATATGTATGACATTTGTTTGCTAGCAAACAGTCTTTGGATCCGATTACTAGGCTTTAGGCATGGGCCAGCACATTGATGCTCGACTCGAGTTTGGTTTTAAAGTTGTTATTTGTTTGTATTTCACAGTGGGGACTCAGCCGAAAAGAGGCGGCAAAAATAAAAAATATATTATGAACACTTTGAATAAAATAAATGTACACATCTAATAGAAAATTTTCCAATCTAATTATCATGATAATTTTAGGTTAGGAGATATAAGCACTCAAAGTTGAAAATGGTTTCAGTGTAAAATAATTTATTGAACTCTTATTGACTTTATAATTAAGCAAGCTATGCCCACTGTGCGCTGCTGCGCTGTCTCGAACATTCTCGCTGACGAACAGGAGAAGCCGTCGGGCAGCAGCGCTTTCTCCAGTTCGCAGCGGGGTCGCGGTCATAGACGAGGCATAGCCGAAAAGAGAACTGAAACCCCGCGCACTCCCTCTGTCCATGGGGCGTACCAGTAAACCCCGTCATAGAACAGTGTTGAGCTACTGAGCTTCTTCAGTAACGTTGTTTTGCGATATGTTTATAAACGAGACGATGGTTGTTCAGATTAAATATGGGTTATTGTTGTAAACAGTATATATGTAAGGCGCTACAGAGTCGAAGGGATAGCGAAAGGTTCGAGTTAGGTTGATGACGAGTCGGTTGGAGAGTTAGCTGGATTCAAGACGGGGTCAGATTGTAGACGCGTGGGTCGGTACAAGACGGTGTCGGATTGAATAGCTCGATTCCAAGGCGATGTGCAGTGGTTGCTAGATTCAGTCTGGAATCAAAGGGCAGGCGGGCCTAATGCGAGCGAGAGAGCGACAGATCGAAAGAGTGATAGCGGCCAAACTTTTTGGTCGCTCATCCAGCATCTTGGTATTGTATAGTCTTTGGTCGGGTGCACTGTGCATAGGGAAAAATCTCGGGCAGCCAGGCAATTATGCATAGGGCCCACGAAGTTGGTTCTCTGCCACTGCGGCACCCGAGTCGACCCACACGAAGCTTGTACGCTGTGTCGAATGCGCTGTCCGAAATTTGTTCCTATGCACAGTGCATACGACGCTGCTGGCCTCTGGTTTAGAAGTACCTTAACGTACCTTTTAAAGTTATCAGCACAGCTAAGTTACATCCATAGCTGTGTGTTCACTTGCACCGGTGTTTCATTTTATACCCGTACTCAAAAAGTGTTAAGTGGTACATTAGATTTGTGGTAAAAGTGGATGTGTATAACGCAGAGAAGGAAACCTTTCCGATCCCATAAATTATATATATTCGTGATCAGCATCAAAAGCTAAGTCTAAGTCTGTCTGTCTGTCCGTCTTGATGAGCGCCTAGACCTCAGAGACTATAAGAGCCATCAAATTTTGTTTCCAGACTCATGTGATATCACACTGTTACAAGTGTATTTCATAATTTCGGCCCGCCTCCTTCCACCCCCACAAAGGACGAAAATCTGTGGCAGCCACAATTTTAAAGATACGATAAAACACATATCTACCAGATTTCCGAATCTGAATCAGATCGGATCATTATTATAGCCAGAGAAGGAAATTTTCATTTGCTTCCCCCACCTCCTCCAGCAAGAGAGCACGCTACTCATTCTCTTACTCGCTCGCACACTCTGACTCGTTCAGTGCGCGAGTGACCGCTATCGGAGAAGATTTAGAATCTACATGTTAGATGTATAATATACTTTCTATATATAGATTAAGATAACAGATATAGCAAAAAATTTGAAATCTATTAAAATTGTACATAAATCATAAGTATAAAAGTAGAGTCGCGTCCAAAAAAGCGACTCACGTGTTCCTTCTCGTTAGCATAAAGTTTGTGAAATCGTTATCAAAACAAATAACTTTTTGAGATTTCATTTTATTGACACCAATCAAATTTGTACTGGTGATTATTGAATTTATAAAATTTCATTGCCTAAATGTAGTCTCGATATAATCAATCCGTTGATCAGCCGTACTCATATATGGAAAAAAGGGTGATACCCAAATCCGAACCATTGCTAATTTGTTCAAGACGATTTAATAAGTTCCACACTAATGCAAATTTGTAGAACTAAACGATACAAGAAAAACAATTTTGTTCAAAACTAATCTCATCAATGTTAATTTTTATTGAACTTACATTTTCTAGTTATTGAATTTCACTACCGATCTCATCATATTGTTCTTCATCGATGCTTTCGTCAATTTCGTTATCTTCATGCATTTTTATGTAATTTATACGCTCCAAATCCCGTAGTTCTGCGTGTAGTTCTTCACGTCTGCTTTGAATAAAACAGTCTACATAAGTTTTACATTCAAGTAGGAGTTTCTCTGTACGCGTGGTGTGCATTTGTGGCCGAAAAAATAAATGCGGTTTAGTTTTTGTTCTAATTTGATTTTTTTGATAAGTGATGTTCGATTCCCAAGATTTAAAATCCTTTAGTCTAGACATTTTATATTCCAATGCTCTGATTTCAAATTGCTTTCGTTTTTTATTTAAAAACAAAGTTTCTCGTTCTTTTCTTAACATGGCCCTTTCCTGAAGTTCTTGCCTCTCCAGTTTCTTCTCTATTTCAGCTTTTTTATCTTCTTTGATCTTTAGACGCGACTCCTCTTGGCAGAATTTTTGTAATGTTCCAATAAGAGATCCAAACATGCGACGATTTCGAGCTATAGACTCGGAATCGGTCCCTTGAGCTTCAACAACTTCTTTTCTAGATGGTAATTCCCGAATTACTCGAGAGTTGATCCTTGCCGAGCGCGTTTCGCTCTCGTCTACAGAGAAACGAGTATCTGCATAATTCGAATCAAACATACGGCGCTTATCTTTATATGATCTTTCGTTATGATCGTTCTTTTTGGCTTCATCGGTATGTTTGTATTTCTCTATTCTAAAAATATATGAGGGAGAAATATTTGTGGTTTACACACAAATTAACAGTTGAACTTGTTATATACATACCTCAACTCCTTTGGTACGCGACCAACAAATCGACGAATATTATCATTTAATATAATTAGGGACTGCTTAGCTATTACAAGTTTTTGCTCTACATCATCAACTGATGATAAGCAACAATCATTAACCATTATTCTAAATTGGTTGAATATTAAAAAAATAAATTAAAATCTATGATGTCTAGAGATGTTATTTTTGCGCTGTTTCTGTCTTAAGGGATTTAGAATATATATCGATATCAATATCGATAATCACTTTATGTTATCACGAAATTACGCAATTTTCCATTAATTTGGAACAGTGGAAATCGAAGTAAGTGTTTTTATTATAATAACCCTTTCACACTGGGGACCAGCCACCATCCAGTTCTGGGATGGTACGTAAGGTTTTGCCGTTCCGAAAATTTCCCAGTTATTCCACCATCCATCTGGGATGTTCCTAATTCTCACGTTTCAGTGCGGTATTTTTTCGATAATTGTCAAATGCAACCATATTTCACAACAAAAAATCGGAGATCACTACGAAAATGTAAACAATGACAGACAGGAAAATATAAAAATAAAACAAAATATCCCCATCAGATCTCACAAAGCACGCAAAATATAAAAAAATATCAAATATCAGCTGCAGGTGGTTTTATTTCGATGTGACAGCCATCTAACATAAAAATTAAGTGATGCAATTAATTTACATATATGTATATACATATATTATGGATGATTTTATTGCATTATTACCAATTGCACCAAGCACTGAGGAAACCCAATTTCTTCAAATGCTTGGACACACTCGTCAATTTTCTCTGAAGTGAGATAGTTTTTGGACATGTATTCCTCTGAGAATTCGTTGATGAATGCTCTGCAAAATTCATGCAGGATATTGCAGACGCTGTTGGCTGACACTCCGAAAAACATTTTTTTTCAGAAGAAGATCCCAAAGTATATAAAGATATGGCGATACGCTTCCCCAGAGGAATTGCAGCTCGGCAGTTTGTGTCCTTCTTCCGTAGCACTTCCAAGCGAGTAACCAACAGAGAAAAGCAGGATCTCTCCATCCTAAAACGTTCCTTAAAAAACGCCTCGTTGTTTTCGGGTACATCCTTCTCCCAAAATGTACCGAACCGCTTCTGAAAAACATAACATATATATTTGTACTTTAAACATTGGTTGCATTTATTAGAAGCACTCACAAATGACCACAACCTTCCGGGCCCCAGTGTTTTCAAAACAGATATCCATTCTATTATCTCCTCCCCGTCAAAGTTATCCTCATCATCATCGTCCATGTCCAACAACATGATTAGCTTGTGCAAGAATATGTTTTGCTGCTGAATCACATTCACGACCATTGAAATGTTATTTATATTCATTTTAATTAAATTAAACAAATTTTCACCTCACGCAATTGTGAGCAACAGCTGTTTCTCATGGATGGTGGATGGTGTCAATGTGAATCGGTGTTTCACATCTTTCAAAAATTCCCACCGTTCCCCCAGGATGGACTCAGTGTGCAGAGAGTATAAGCCTAGTACTCAGATCCAAAAACTGTCCAGAAAACAAATGTCATATATTCTTCGAGCGGCCAGTGTGTGTCCAGAGGTGTGCACTGCATTCCAAACGGTTACACTAATCAGACCGCTACTTGGTTTTGTTTAAAGTTAATAAAATGCACTTCTTCGGCTGGGGCGCTCTTCCCCAGGCATATCCTGGGCTCCCCAATATATTATTCGCCAGGTTATGTGTCTGACTATCAGCAAAAGCAGATGGCGATGCATCCTGTGCCGACCACCGTGAATACATAATGTTTTGAAAACAATATTTGTTTTATATTTATGAAAATTAAAAAAATATATATTTTATAATATCCATATGATTGTCCCTCATATAATGCTACATTAATTAGATTATATTTGTCTTCATTATTTAAATATTTCATTTGGCCCGAAAAGCCTAGTACTCTGATCTTGATATTCGTATGAAACCGATAAGAAATATATTCCGGAAAAAACTGTTTTCTAGGCTCTGTACGGAAGGCAGTACCACTAACCATACAGTATATAGATGTGCCAGTTGATACAACGAAAGGGGTGCAGCTGAGTTTTCAGCGTACGTTCCCAGGTCTTCGGCTCTGGGGCCGATCGCGTTGGGCTCTGGGAATAACCGCGTTCGGCTCATGACGTGACACGAGCCGACGGACAGCAAGCATGTATGTGTGTACGTGTAACACTCCAAAATATATGATTGTATGCATAGCATAATTGTTAGCTGCCGAAACCGACTTTGCTTGAAGCCTAGTACTCAGATCGAAAAAAAACACCTCGCGAACAGAATCAGGGTTGATATCCGTATGAAACCGATAAGAAAGTTTTTACGGCAAAAACTGTTTTGTAGGCTCTGTACGGAAGGCAGTACTCAGATCAACAAAAAAAAAACGTCAGTATACACTGGAAAATTATCCGAAGTATTTGCTTGTTTTTTTTGGCATATTTAGACCCACCTCGAAAATTATATCAATTTGATATATTTTGCCAGCAAACACGATGCAAACATTGCAATAAGAGTACTTAAAACCAAATGAAATATTATAATAATGAAGACAAATAGAATCTAATTAATGCAGTGTTATATGAATGACAATTATATGGATATTATAATTTGTTATTTTTATTAATTTTCATAAATATAAAACAAATATTGTTTTCAAAACATTTTTTATTCACGGTGTCCGGCACGGGAGGCGTCGCCATCTGCTGCTGCTGATAGTCAGACACTGTGAGGTCCTATCTCAGGCTGAGGTATGCATCAGTCTGTTCAGGGTCCGCTACAAGAAAATTTGTAGATTGCAGGTGACTTCAGGTGTCGGGCTGGCTTGAAATGCAGTAGGCAAGGGAGAAATGATGACGCGAGAGTTTGGGTTTTGGTTGTTCTTGGTTTATTCAGTATTTTTTCATTCACTTAGTTCTTTTACGTTGTTACTCTGGCTTGTAGTTGTGCGGATTGTGTGGATTGCTTAGTCAGTGTTTCGTGTTCGGGCTGATGGACTGCCTAGTGCAGTGTCTTGTGTTCGGGCTGATGGACTGCCTACTCATTCGGCCGATCTTGGCTCTTTTATGAAGCTGGCTATCGCACCTGAGACCCGGAAATAATTGCTTATTGCTAACTTATGATTATTGGGTGACAATAATTGTGGGCGTGGTAAGTGGGTCGAAGCTTGGTGCTTCGTTTACAATTGCTTAGTTTTGCTGAGACTGCATCGCGGTAGAGGTGGGCTGCAGTTGAGAATTGGGATTTTGCTACCTCCACATCGCGAAGGTGCTACCTGAATTTGGGTCGATTACACTAGTCAACACGATTTTTCCTCAAGGAACAAAACGAACATTTTCTTAAAGATTTGGGGCTTAGAAATGGTTTGATGATATTTTTTTTTTTTCTATGGCAGAACTTTTTTTTAAAGAATTTTTGAAAACTGGTATTTTTTTTAAAGCTTTTTTCAGAGGTAGCGCTGGTTTTTTTCACATAACTCTAGTATCTTACGTCTGGTTGTAAAGCACTTTGCTATTTTGAAAAGATAATTAAAACAGCTAGAAGTTAAGCCTAAACACTTTGTGATTTCAGCTTACCGTCTGGGAAATATATAGCATTGAAATGCAAAAATTATGATTTTTGTGGGGTATTTTTTACGAAATTTTGACTTTAAAAACTCAGGAAAAGTCGAAAAAAAATTATATCTTGTGTCTTCTATTTTTTTGTGTATAGGTGCGTTAATTTGGCGTCGTTTAGGGTATCGCTCATTAAAATCTATGGAGAGACTTTGGAGCTAAAATTCGTTAACCAAACCTAAAATATGGAAAAAATGAACAAAAAATACCTTTTTGAAGGCGGCGGGCCCAACTGCCAATTGGGAACAAAGCAAACGAACAAGGGTTGTACATTTGGTACTTGATCGCGTTCCTTTGTTCCCAATTGGCAGTTGGGCCCGTTGCCTGTTTGGCATCAGCTTCTAGCTGTTTCAATTATCTTTTCAAAATAGCAAAGTTCTTTACAACCAGACGTAAGATACTAGAGTTATGTGAAAAAAACAAGCGCTACCTCTGAAAAAAGCTAAAAAAAAAAATACCAGACTTCAAAAATTCTTCAAAAAAAAGTTCTGCCATAGAAAAAAAACCATAATTCTTTAAAAAATTTTAAAGCCCCATATCTATCAGAAAAAGTCGGTTTGGATCTTTGAGGAAAAAAAAAGTTCGATTTTGTCGAGTAGTGCTGCCAATTGGGAAAAAAGCAAACGAACAAGGGTTGTACATTTGGTACTTGATCGCGTTCCTTTGTTCCCAATTGGCAGTTGGGCCCGTTGCCTGTTTGGCATCAGCTTCTAGCTGTTTCAATTATCTTTTCAAAATAGCAAAGTTCTTTATAACCAGACGTAAGATACTAGAGTTATATGAAAAAAACAAGCGCTACCTCTGAAAAAAGCTAAAAAAAAAAAATATCAGACTTCAAAAATTCTTCAAAAAAAAGTTCTGCCATAGAAAAAAAACCATAATTCTTTAAAAAACTTTAAAGCCCCATATCTATCAGAAAAAGTCGGTTTGGATCCTTGAGGAAAAAAAACGTTCGATTTTGTCGAGTAGTGTAATCATACGGAAGAATACGGAAGAATAAAGAAACACATTAAAATTAAAAGAACCGAAAGTCTTGTGATTTCTATTTCAGTTTCTGGCAAAGTTCCTGGTTTTCCCGATAAAGTCCTCGTGAATTATAAATAACTTGTAATTCAGGACCCTGGACAGACTGAAGCATACCTCAGCTTGAAATAGGACATTACAAGTGGCGCCCGAGCAGGGACTTTAAAGGATTTTTCGTGGAAACTTCAAGAAAACCGAAATCAGGGACTTCGTGGATTAAAGACCCACTGCCATCAAACAGAAAATTGAATCAATAACAAGTCCGCGCACTTACATAATCCGGGCGCGAAAACAAACGCGAAAGTATATGCAGTGCCGATCCTAAAAGTGCCGTTCAACAGTGACTCATTGCCAAAAATCAACAGAAATCAACATGGAACATCACGACGATGAACAACCAGAGGAGGCATACCCTGCGGGACACTTTTCCAATCCAGGGGTCAGCACCCGCTGGATCCACAAGCTCCGTCGGGACGAACTAGAAGTCCTCGCCGAAGAATTCGGATTCGGCAGCGAAGGAACGGTCGATGAACGCCGAAA